TATATATATATATATATATATATATATATATATATATATATATATATATATATATATATATATATATAACAAAATCCCTAATAACTATGTAATACACTTGATATGTGACACGTATAATCAAACTGAAAACTTTAGCTTCAAAATATTACTCAGCAGAAACTTTTGAAGAATTTACCACTTTCAAATAAAATAAGTTTCGTGAAAGGACTAAGATGAATACTGAAACGGAGATGTATAACGGATAATTAAGAAATGAAATGATCTTAAATTCATTCAAGACATAACATGATGCCATAACTGGAACGATTAATTGGAAAGATATCCCAATAAAAAATTTATTCGATAAATATTTTCCGAAAATTATTAATATTATATTTGTTCAAACAATATTTTTTATCGAAAAAAAAGTGAAGCAAAAGCAAAGAGAAGTGAAACAGAGTAATAAGTGCCATCTAATTAATCGAGCTACTACATTATTCAACTAGATGCTTTTTGAATATTGATTGGTCCACGTCAGAAATATGTCCAAAAGCGAGCAAAGAGCGTATGATTCACTTAAAAAGGGACAGATAGAATAACGATGACCACAAACAGATTGTATGTATTTGATTGGCGTATTCAACTATATGTTCATTTTTCCGAAAATAAATTTCTGAACTTGATGACAAAAAAAAGAAAGAACAGTAATGAAAGGAGAGATAATGGGAGAAAGAAAACGAAAGAGGGTAAGAAAGGAAAAGCAGAATGAAATTAAGGAAATCAAATGAATGAAACGAAGGCCATCAGATGATCCGAAAAAGGGGGGAAAAAAATCTTATGAATCACAAGGATAAAAGGAAAAAAGGAGTTTCTTGTTAAAAAAAAAAAAAGCAATGAAATTAGATAATGAAAATATACGAGAACAAGAGAAAAACACAGAAGAAAAATAAGGTAAATTTGGTTGGAAATTTGATGCTATTGAGAAATATTTCTTTCAGAAAGTAAAATAAAAAATGAATTGTAAAGAAAAGATTGCTTTCCCTCAAATATCATCGAAAGGTATCGCTTACAACAAGAACGAAAAAGTGAATCATTTAATGCATGTAAATATGTTTATTATATCTGGTATAAGTTAATGATTTAGGGATTGAAACTAAATAACCAATAAGTAGAGAGAAACCAGAATTTAATAGACATGAATATATGGCCGAAGGAAAGAAGATATTGCAACAGCCAAAGCGATAGTAAAGTAACGTACCTTAAAAATCGGAAAACGAATTAACACTATGGGCAGATAGAAATGGTGATATACAGCCGGATCAATTCGTCGGAAATATCTTGAACACTAAACTGCTCTCCTACTACCATTTTTTGCGAAATTTATTGAGAAAATATTCGCAAAAACTAAGAATTAAAACAGTGGATCTGCATGGAATTCATGCCACAGGCACAAAAGTTCGATTAATCCGTCGTGAAAAATGATCGACATATTATCTTAGCATAAGAAAGCTAACTATACAAAGTCATTTCTCGATTATCCAATCATTTTTCTAGTCGGTAAATAAAGTCAAGGATATCAATCTAGAATCAAATTATTGGTAAACAAATATTTGGAAACATACCAGCATATTGACATACATATAATATAAAAGGTAACATGAAACTCACGGAAATTAGCAAATAAGATGAAGGGGACAAATGAATGCCATGCCAAAAAGCTTCTGAAGCAAAATAAAATACATTTAATTGACTAAAGTAAAATACATTTAATTGACTATCACTTCTCGCATTGAAGGAGATTGTATAAGGGACATGAGTTATGATATCTGGCTAAAACACATCCGGATCATCAAAACTCGATCCTAAAATTAGACAGGAATAAATTAACTAAACAAACCCTCGGTAACAAATGATCTTGTTGATCTGTTGAGGAAGAACAGCCTGAATGAAGTGGATCTGCTGCACTATGTCTGAGCTGCTGGCCATTACTTTTCCGTGTTGCCAATGACACCGACTGAGGACGTGAATGACTACCACTTAATAATCCTTGTTGTTGTTGTTGACCGTTACTGAAAAAACGCCTAAAACAAGGTCCATCAACTGGGATATATTTGCCGTCTGAAAGTGATTGAAAAAGCCTAAACTGAAGATTTGAAAAGAAAGAAAAGAAAAAAACTAAGAAAACGATAGGAAACGTTAATGGAAAAAGAAGGACCGGGAATCCAATTAACTTTCGGTACTGAGCAAAAAAAAAAGCTTAAAATCAATTTTAGATGGAAAAGAAATAAAAATACGAACAGCGGACGAGATTAAATGAAGAAGTTTGAGCTCCAACAAAGAAACCAAAAAAAAAAGAAAACTATAACAAATCTGCGCAGAAGAAAAAAACGCTTGTGACTAAAAAAATAACTTGAAAAGGAAAAGTGTCTGAAACTAAATGATCAATAACAGAAAAAAAAGCTTGACTAGAATTATTGCTCAAAAATCAATCTTAAGGAAAATCGATTTAAAACAATCAGTTCGGCTTATTTTCGATTTTTTCCTTCCACAAGAAAAGGCATTCCTTTCACCTTCTTCTTCAATGCCTAACGACAGCAAAAGTAGCAAATGAAATTCTACAATGCCGGTTAACTATTCAGTGTAGTGGCAAATCCTGTCTTTCAATTCTCGAGCACAGAAAATCCAGGATTTATCCAGAGGTATCCTGTCGAAAGTTAAATGGATTCTCAAATCTTTTTTCGCTGACGTTTTCTATCATTTTCTTAGTTTTTTTCTTTAAAAAAAACTTTTCTAATCAATGTCCTACTTCTAAATTTCCATTTTCTAAGCAAAATGTTACCCACACCATCTTTTCTTCAGACTGATAACCCAGTTACCATAAGAGCAATATTTCATGGCAATTATACATAACGTTTTATATAGCTATACAAAAAAGCTTATGATACTTGCTGTTAAGTCTGTGACTCATCGACCACATCATCTGTAGTCATTCGGTCTTTCGCATTCAGTGATTTAATTCATTTGCCGTGTTTTGACTAGAGGATATTTGTACTATACAAAGTATAATCTGTTCTCTAGCTAACAGTTCTAGTTACGTATAGCTAAAACAGCCTAAAAAAGTCAAAAGGGGCAAAACAAATCATTGGGCACTTAGAAATAAATATAAGCAATAAATTAATAAATAATTTTACTAGATTAATCAAGATAATTTAGTGATAAAATCCAAAAGTAAATTATTTAGGTTAGATTAGAAATCAAAAAGTCATAACGATTGAATTACCCAAATAAATTAGTAATACGACAAAAAGTGATAATCATTTTCACTGCATCTTTCGCAATTATATCTTCACTTTATTTTATTATTATTCGACTTATATTCTCGTCATTAAATAACTTAAAGTTAATATTTGACAAATTTTTACCTTTTGAATAAGAAACAAAATTTTCAATAAATCAATCTTTAAGATTTCGTCTTCCTCAAAAATTTCTCTCATTTTTTTGCATCACTGCTTCAGTTTGCTCCTTGCTTTCTTTTTTTATTATGAAAAAAAATTTTGTTGATGTCATGGTAATCTTCGCTATTTATCAACAGATATTCGTGTGTCACAACTTCTCATTTTCGTATTACTCGTAACAATTTCAAGAAAAATCAAAAAGAAAATAAAAAGGAAAAGAAACAACTAAAAAAAGGAAAAAAAAACGCTTACCGTAAACTTTTTCTTTTGACGATGTTTTGCGTCGAGGAAGTGACATTAGTGAAATATGATGAATCCACCACGGGACGATCTGTTGAGCAGGAAGCTGACGAGCCATCTAGAAAAAAACGAAAAAATGAAGCTAATATTTTTGCAATTTTTCAAATTCTTAAAATCTTTATTGATGTAATGTTCATTGTCTTTATTTATCTATACAAAAGTAAAATTAGATTAAATGTAAAGAAGGGTATGAATGAAAAGATATGCAAGTATTTTTTAATGGTTAGAATTAAACTTATCATTTTTAATTCCTCTTCGATTTATCTCTTAATGAAAAAATTGTAACAATTTTGTAATCACTTCCTCAAACTTAATTTCAAACATAATGATTGAAAAAGGATAAAACGAAAGAGGCAATGAAAGATCACAAAGTAAATAAGATTTCGATTTGACAAAAAAGGAAATTAAAAATTTAGATTCATCCTTATATGACTTCATTATGCAAATTTAAAACGAAATATTACAAACAAAAACGGGAAGAAGGAAGTAGAGAAAAAAATCTTTAAAATAAAGAGGTGTCTTTGGAAATATTCTGCAATTTTTTTCCTTTTCTTAGAAATTAAAATAAAATGTGAGAAAAAAGAATAATAAAATTTAAAAGAATGATAATAACAGAAGAGACATAATGCTCGTTGAAAAGAGTTCATCCGAAAAGAATTAATTAAATGTATTTTGAAAAACTGAAAATTAATTTTATCATAATTCCTTTCAATTTTTCTGAAAAAATTGCGTAGTGATAATGTATAGTGAGGAATATATTCAAGTATCATTTATATTATGTATTTGTATTCATATTTTCATCTCATAAATCTAATTTATTCATCTGGCATATTTGAAACATTAGCAAAATTTGAAACTTTAAAACGGAAAGGAAAAGAAGAAAAAAAAAGAGGAAATCAATGACATGAAATAATCTTTTATCATTTTTCGAATAAGACGTAAGGGATTAACATAAAAGAAAAAACAGAAATGAGATTACAATAATAGAAATATTTATCAAACTATGCGAAACATAACGAAAGAAGAGAAAAAGAAAAAGACGTAGAAAACATGAATAATATAATTGAACAAGAAGTAAATGTCTTGAAAAGAAGTTTAAGGGAAAAGGGTAATTGGAAGTGGATGAAAGATTGAATATAAGAGACTTTTTTTTTCGTTTCTTTTTCAAAAGTAGCACTTCTTCACTAAATAAGCGATGATGAAGAAAAAAAAAATCCACAAAATCCTCCTTTTTTCATTCTTTTCTTCCTTCTTCCTTCCTCCTTCTCTTTCTCTCCTCGTTCATTCTAATTTTTGAAGGTAAAAAACAGAAAAAGAAAAAGAAAAAAGAGATGACAGATATAATCTTATTAATCATGCTATCAAATATTCCATAAAATTTGAAAAAAAAGATTAGTGATATTTTCACATATTTGTTGCAATTTTCCACTTTATTTCTCTCTTTTCTTGTAATTTGTTTATCAGTGAAGTTTTTCCTTGTCCAAATACCCCTAACAACTTTTAACATACTAATACATTATCCTACACTTAGGAAATATTGGACATAAATTACTAAAATATATCTAAGAGTTTCGGGAATTTAGAAAAATCTCAAGAAATTGTTACTGTTTGCAAACAATAACAAATGTTTAGGGAATCAAAAACAAATGGATTACTGAAAATAAATTTAGAATACTTTCTTTTTCATAATATTCATAATACCACCGATAAAAAATCTGGCTAATAGTACCAAAATATCTGGAAATATTATTTTTAGGCATAGGAAAACTTTCATTAAATATTTTCATTCATTTTAATTTCATAATTTTTTGCCTTCACAATTATAAGACGATTATTTGACATGAAAATTTATAATATATTACTCACATTTAATTTTATTACTTGAGCAGATCAGAGATGATTCTGAGGTGCTGTCCACTGGTCAACCATTATTTGACCTATTCAGATTTAAAATCACACAATAAAGAGATCAGACAGAACAATCAAACTCCAATAAAGAGAACAGACAGAACAATCAAATTCCTCACATGAGTTTTATTAACATTTCTCATCATGTGGATAATAATTCTGGTATGATTGATCGAAAAAATGTGGTAGAACTGTAATCCATACGTATTGTCTAGAAATAAGTTATGATAAATGGATCATTAAATAAACAGACATGTAAAAAAGTGATGACACTTCAGGAAATATCTGATGTGCCAGATTCAAATTCAAATCTAACAAATAAGAATTAAATTAAAAATCTAAGCTAACGGGCAGCAGTTCAATGAGAGATAAAGATGCTCTGTGAACGCTCATAAGATAGAATGAAAATGATAAAAAGACGGACAAGGAAATAAAAAACTCAATCTTTGAAGTGAAATATATTTCAGACATTTAAAACATCGGAAAAATGAGCGATTTAAGATCGGCCAAATTTTGGTATGCCAATAAATTAATGGTTAGGAATCGAATGAGTACGTTAATAAATGAAGAGTTGGGAATCAAACTGTTCAGAGGATGAACGTCAGGATTTGGAAGTGTAAACATCAGCAAACATTGGTAGCAAAAAGAGAATTAAAAAATATGGAATCAGAAACACTTTAGAATATTTTCTTTGTGATGATTCAATTCATTAATATTAACATTTGTTTACCACCCTCTCTCTCTCTCTCTCTCTCTCTCTCTCTA